GACTCCTCAAAGCCCGGGGGGGGGGGCAGCTGCCCCCCTCGTGCCCCCCCCCCCCGGAGGCTACGGCCCTGACACTATTCCCCTCTTGAAATTAAATTCAGTGCACCCCGAACCCCACGCCAAGTGTGTGTGTGTGTGTGTGTGTGTGTGTGTGTGTGTGTGTGTGTGTGTTGGGGGATGGTAGGCTTCGCATCCGAGGACCCCCCTACAAATAATCCTGGATCCGCCCCTGGAAAATCATGATATTCTTATGTATAGAACGGTTAATTTTTTGAGCGACTTTAGTTTGCTTGTTACTGAATATATGAAAGGAGGGAATTTAAAATACACTTGGGCAAGACGAAACTTTCTGACAATTTTCTGGGGAACATACGTTACGTACAGGTAGATTACCCATGACGCAGATCCTCTTGAGTTACAGTTTACAGTGGCCCAGGCACCAAAAAGGTCCATGTCATTTTCAACTATAAAGATAAAAATTTACTTGTCAACAAAGACATCAGATGCAAGGTAGGTTCTTTGAAAATGGGAATAAAGATCCGAGTTCTACTTAATTATTACTACTTTGAATATATTTAAATTTTCTCTTCAAATATAGTGTGTAGAAAATCAACAAACGGTTTCTGAATTTTGTTTAGATTTTTTAAAATGTTTTTCATTAATTGTTTAACAACACAAAAGAAAATGTTTTTTGTTAATGCTGTAATTTTTGTTTACCATTTCAGGATGATGTGATGACCCACTTGTACATATATAATTTACCATGACTGAATCACTACAAAATATATCGAAACGCGATATAAAAATTAAAATTTTATGGTCCGGTACACTCTTTACCGGTGTAAGTTGTAACGTGACATCGTAGAGAGTCCGCTTCCCATTCATTTGTTAAGTTAAGCCTCGCCCTAGATTTTGCCTACCCTCTTCCAGGGCCGCAGTTATTATTGTGGACATATTTGCTGAGGCGAGCAGAGATTAGCCATCTCTTTAACCAGAGACATATCCGTTAATATCTAGTAAAAATCAATATGTAGCCCTGGTAGAGGGTAGATTTTGACCAACGGAGGTCAGGCTAACCCTATAACCATTATAACTAAATGAAGGGCGGACTTGCTGTTACACAGACAATCGGTTTCGTTACATCAGAACATACGTTACCATTAAGGGTCTTTACATAATGTAGGCCTACAGACATAGTAAAAATTAAATGTAGATGCAAAACTGAGACAGCCGTGGGATTTTGTTCTATACACATTAATGTTTTGAAAAACAGAAGACAACTTCGTTTCATACAATTTTTGTTATACTTCAGCTTGTGAAATGCACCTCTCTATTGGGTTTGGGTGTACATGTATTACATCACGACTGAGACATTGTCGAGTTTTTTTTTTTTTTTTTTTTTTTTTTTTTTTTTTACAATGCGCTATACATAAATTTCACTCTCGAGGCGAAACGCCCCAACCTGTTTGACTATCATATACATGTCATATGTAAGCTTGCTAGCTTGAACCTTGTATTCAACAATATGCTATCTATTGACACTAGCGTGAGCGTGTGGGACGGGAGAGCGGAGGGTGGGGCAACACGTCTATCAATATTAAAGCTTCCCTGGCTTAGCTAGCTTACTGAAAAACGAAAGCGGTAGACAAGGACTGAAAGTGAATTCCCATACTAATTTATTTAAATGGCTATAGCAGATACATTTCTCAAAGTCAACATAACTAAATTTAGAAAAGATTTTGAAAATCAAATATTTTAGGTTGGTCACGTTTCCCAATATGCACTGCTACTCGGTAATAATCGCTTTCCTCCTCCATACATGCGGAAATTACCGAAGTTCTAGCGTGTAGAGTTTTGATTGGATACAACACGTGGACCAATCAACTCCCTCCAGCTGTCTAGATTGAATCACGTGGGCCGGTGTCTCTTACTATAGACCACGTTGGTTTAGATTTTGGGCACTAAACGTGCGATTTCTCCAAGAATATGAAGACCCTCCTCTGTTTGGCAGCATTATTTTGTGCGGCTCTATCAGAGCCTACAATATACTTCGAAGAAAGATTTGGTGGTAAGTGATTATCTGGAGATCGGCATATAACTTCTGTGGGGGTGCATCCACTTTACCTTGTGTTGGGGATAACTTGCAAGTTTCAATAACGTAAGCCACGCGAGTTGACCGCAATCAGGCTGTTTCTGTTCAAGTAACATTGATCTTCGATAGAAACTGTTATTTATGTGTGCGTTGATTTGAGATTGCATGGCAACTTTTCAAGAAATTTAACGTCTTATGCATTGTACACAGGCGGTGATTGAGACGGTGGGAGTGGTTCATACAGGACTTAGTATTAAGAGCAGCTATAGCTAGCTCGATATTGTATGTGAATCGGCGAAATTCATAATCGATTTCAATTCTTCAGCACTACCAAATGGTGAAAAGTATACACTGTTTGATTGTCCAAATTTAATGAAAAATATGTTGGTACCGTATTTCAAGCTATGTAAGAGCTCTAGATAATGTGGATGCTGAAATTCTTCAATTTTATGTAATGAGTGTTATGATATAGATTTTTGAGTTGTTCATCAAAATATTCTTGTAATATCATTTTGGCCATGTTATTTTGATAAAAATATATATGCTCATACAGTTGACACCTAAACTTCATGCATTCATATGTAAATCATGTGAAATGAGAAAGGTTCAATCCTATAATAGCTGAGGTTTCGCAGGCTCCTTCACAACCCTCCTCCCCTCCCATCCCACTGGGTTTGGGGGCGGGAGGGGGGGGGGGAGCTCAAAAGAACTGTCCTTTTGGCCAAAAAATGTTCAAACCATCTCGGAATCAAATTTTGTCTTAAGTTATATGGCATTTGTTGCATTGCGTCATCAAAGGGGGGTAAGATGCTGTACTTTTTTTAAAAGAAAAAGCCCTCCCTCCATTTTGAAATTGGTGGATACAGGCCTTTTTTCAGTGCATGTATCTGCACTAGTGTCATATCTGTTTCAAATAATGTTTGTAGGTAATTAACTTTTTTAAAAAGCTAAGGCTATGTGTCCTCCACCCCTCCCCTTTCCCCCCCTCTTGATCTAAAGGTGTCTTAGGCATGTTGCTGATTGCAGTTTAAACTCAAGAAAAGTGAAAATGCTGTATTGATTGAAATCATAAGCAAGTCACATGATTTCCTTGGTAAATAGACATCAAAGAGGATGTTACATAATCCTCAGGTGAGGCAATAATTATGAATATTACCTGCAGTAAGCTAAAGGAAATAATGTTGAACTTGTACAAATGCAGGAAATGTGCATTGTTCTCAAAGATAAGGCATAACAGATTGTATCATGGAAATGATTAAAACCAAAATAGATAACATTACAAAATTTCATTAATTGATATAATATTGACACACTCATCCCGAGTGTATTGTAAAAATGGGATCTTCCTGGCCATATGTTACAAATATTTGCCCTTATAATGGAAAATATATGTATGAACTGAAACCAGGCTGATGGTGCTGTGTGATATCACAAGTGACAAGAAAACCATAAAAAATAATGCAATATGATGTACTATGATGATGGTTTAATCTTCAGTTTGATGATTCAGGGAAGGACTATCATGTTGGGTCTTGTCTTCATCATCTTTGATGTCTATTCAGACCAGTTTATTTATTTATAAGCTCTCACACACTGAGGGCAGTTGAAGGCTTGTATATCTGCTGTCTGGACATCATGATCCTCTTCCCTTTGTATGTTTCATTTTGCTGCACTGCACTGTTTGCTGATGCCTTATTGGTTAATATTGTCCTCCATTTCTCTCGTTCATCTTCCATTAGCCACCTGCTTGGATTAATGGTGGCCAGTGCAAGCCGTTTATTTGAAACAGTCGATCTTTGAACAGCTTTTTGGGTTCGCCCCTGTCTCTTTGCCCTGTGTAAATTCTCCATTAAAACAACTCTAGACACCCGTGTTGTGGTGTTATTGCACTGGCTGTCATGGTGCCTCTAGTGTTGAATGGGAACAATACGTTCTTCGTGCAGGACTAATTCTAGAAAACGACCACATGATATTTGTGGATAATTGGTCAGCTTTTATTCATTTTCTGCATTGCTCTCACTAGTCTCATAATTTTTGACCCAACTTTTTGCCAAATCTTGCTTGATTTTACACAAAGTCACAAGACTTTTTGTAATCCCAGCCTTTGCATTATCAGTTAAATTAAACAATACATTGTTCTACTGAAAGTTAATAGATTTTTTTTTGTGTGTGTTTCAGATGGCTGGGAAAAACGGTGGGTAGAGTCCACACATAAAGGTGCAGAACAAGGAAAGTTCGTACATTCAGCAGGAAAATTTTATGGAGATGCAGAATTAGATAAGGGTAAGAATGATATTTCATATTATAAAAATTTATGGTTAAAAATCCTTCAGTGGCATTGCTTATGCATGGATTATGTTTGATAATGTTTTGATTGTTTTCTTTTTTTAAGGCATTCAAACATCCCAAGATGCCCGTTTTTATGGCCTCTCTGCTGCATTCGACAAATTCAGCAATGAAGGGAAAACTCTTGTCATTCAGTTCACAGTAAAACATGAACAGAACATAGACTGTGGAGGTGGCTACGTTAAAGTGTTCCCAAGCACTCTAGACCAAGGAGACATGCATGGCGATTCCCCATATAATATAATGTTTGGTGAGTGTCCTGACATAGTGACATATATTAATAGAGCACCATCATTTTTGTTAACTGTTAAATTAAAATTTGAATAAATGGAAAACTTTTATAAGGAACCATGTGTAAAGAGGGAGATTTTTATTTGATGTTTCCATTTTAATTAATGTTTTTCTAATGCTATTTTCTAGGCCCTGACATCTGTGGCCCAGGCACCAAAAAGGTCCATGTCATTTTCAACTACAAAGATAAAAATTTACTTGTGAACAAGGACATCAGATGCAAGGTAGGTTCTTTGAAAATGGGAATAAAGAGAATGAGTTCTACTTAAATATAACTTAAATCTTTGAATATATTTAAATTTTCTCTTCAAATATAGTGTGTAAAAAATCAGCAAAGGGTCTCTGAATTTTGTTAAATTTTTTTTTTACGTCTTTCATTATATGTTAAACAAGGCAAAAGGAAATTTTGTAAATGTTGCATTTTTGTTAACCATTTCAGGATGATGTGATGACCCACTTGTACACCCTGATAGTCAGACCAGACAACACTTATGAAGTCAAAATAGACAATGAGAAAGTTGAGAGTGGAAAACTAGAAGACGACTGGAACTTCCTCCCACCAAAGAAGATCAAGGTACAATTCCTTAATTTGGCTGCATTTGCTTTACATAATTTTGAATATTGTTATTTAAAAATTGATTTACTGGCTACTTAAAAAAAAAATATAATAATAATAATACTGATTAAAAAAATGAATATTTTTATGTAGCCCCTTTGACTGCATAAATTTAAATCCCATGGTGAAATCTTAGATTGGTTTGGCATTATCTTTGGCCCTTTCATTTTGCCCTACTCCAATTCTTATTCTCTTTTTTTGTTGGTTGTAGGACCCAGAAGCAAAGAAACCCGATGACTGGGATGAGCGCGAGAAGATTGATGACCCAGATGATACCAAACCTGAGGACTGGGACAAGCCAGAGCATATCCCAGACCCAGACGCCAAGAAACCAGAGGATTGGGATGATGAGATGGACGGAGAGTGGGAACCACCAATGATTGATAACCCAGATTATAAGGTAAAACCAGGGTGTTGATCTGTACTCTTTAGTATAAGGTTGTTTTGATGGCTTTTTGAGCATCATGGTAAGTAAATGCATGGTGAGCAACTGGTAGGTTGTCTTTTCTAAGCATAAACAGAGGGCCTCTATTTGTGAACATGTGAAGCTCATAACAGGTAGAAAATGATCCTGTTTGAAATTGAGGAAAATCCTTCCCTAACTGCCATTTTAAATAAAAAAAATTGGAAAATCCTATTTGAAACTTGAAAGGCGCTTTGACAAATGGCAATCTTTAAAATGGTCACCATTTTATTTTTTCACAGGGCGAATGGAAACCAAAGCAGATTGACAATCCAGATTATAAAGGCAAATGGGTGCACCCAGAAATAGATAACCCAGAATATACCCCTGATGAGAACTTATACAAGTATGATGATATTGGGGCTATTGGGTTTGATCTATGGCAGGTAAGATGGAACTGGGAGTAGCAAAAAATGAAAAATAAATAAATAAACTGTCTGGTTTGTCATTTTGTCATTCTTTTCTTTAAAAGGTAATTACTTTTTCAACATACACTGTAATTTAAGAAAGTTAATTCCTTGGAATATATGTAATTCATTAATCTTTGTAGTTTGAGATTTTATATTTGGTTATATTTTTTAACCGCACCAAGACATATGCATAGTAGAATTTTAAAACATATCTTGTATGTGCATTTCTGTGTGATTTAAAAAAGATCTTGTAGGGTTGATACTTCCACTTGCCAGAAATATCTATCAGCATTACCAATTATCACTGAGTAAAAGCCAATGTTAATTTTGTCTAGGTAAAATCTGGCACCATTTTTGACAATATTCTAATAACTGATGATGAAGACCATGCCAAGAAAGTTGGTGACGAGCTCTGGGGTGTGACCAAGGAGGCTGAGAAAAAGATGAAAGATAAACAAGATGAAGAGGAAAGGAAAAAGAGAGAGGAAGAAGAGAAAAAGGCTAAGGAAGAAGAAGGTAAATAAATGGTTTTTACCATTCAAAAGAAAAATGAGTTTTTTTTTTTTTTTTTTTTGCTTTTATCACAGAAGGTAACTCTTAAAATAATTGACATACTTGTAGAATGCTAGTAACATTTCAAAGTCACTTTGAACAATATATTTTATTATATTTACAGATAAAAAGAAAGAAGAAGAAGATGAGGATGAAGAGGAGGAGGAAGAAGAAGAAAAGGTAACATTTCTTAGATTTTCTGTACTTCTTAAGTGGTAACACAATTTTCTTTTTTTCGAAGCATTTAATTCATCTGAAGTGATCCTTGTAAAATTGCAATGATAATATAAATCATCAAGTGTGCCTGCTGGTGCTGCAGCCAGAGTCCTTTCAATGTTGTCATGTGTTCATTTTAGACTGATGAGGCTCCTGAGGAAGAAGAAACAGAGGAAAAAGAAGAAACACAACCAAAAGATGAATTATAGAGAAAATAAGGACAATAGAAAAAAATGGGAGCTACTAATACCAACAGACTTCCAGGATTTTTTATTTGGCCTCGTTATTATTTCTGTTCACAACATATTCAGACGAGGAGACTTTGGTTTTGAAATAACTGAATTTAGGGGGAAACGGTTGTTACTATTTGTTAAGGTTATTTTCATTCTGTGATCACAACTCAAAACAAAACTAATGAGGCCGTGAGGATTCTTTTTATATGACCAGTCTTTTCATGCCTGTATTTCAAGCTCTGTCGTAGATGGTTTAGATAAATTAATAGGGGAGCCAGTATGCATGTCTTGGAGAAATTGACATAAAAATGGTTCCGCCATTCATGTTCTTCGGCGCTGTTAAAACTACTTGTACAGTTGTAAAATATCACAGACGTCGATGTTCTTGGTTGTACATTTAAAACAAATGTAAGTTTTTTTTGTCTTTAAAAATAAAATTAATTTAATAATAATTGTTCAGATTTTGTCAGTTTCTTCAGAAATGAGACATTTTGTTATTGTAGAGTAGGTGATGATATAAAATAGCATTTAGAGTTGGTGAAAGTTTAAAAATAAGGTTCAAGTTTTAACCAAAATAACCGACCTCTAGTCTTAAGAAAGTCGGCCGCGATCTGTGGGGTAGGCCCCAATGTGCACTTGGGCAACATTTATGAAAATCGGCAAATGATAGTGAACGCGGTACTTCAGTACTGTAAAATGTTTCAAGTAAATTTCAGTACTGTAAAATGTTTCGAGTAAATTTCAGTACTGTAGAATATTTCAAGTAAGCTTCAGTACTGTAAAATGTTTCAAGTCTGACCTGACAAATGTCAAATAATACTTTGATTTCTACATATACAAACACGTTTTAGTTGTAAATTCGATTGAAACAATTTCGATTCTCTCTTAATAATCGCCATTAACAACAGCAATCAAACTGTCTTTAACAGCGAGAGACAACACTGTTGTTTTTACTATAATCAAATAAAAACTTGTCATCTTATAACACCTCTACTGGCGTGCCATAACCAGAGAGAAATGAGTTTCACTCAATATTCCTTTCGTCAACCGATGAAATTACATTTACGTCCCATAATTAGTAGATTCACCACAACATTTGGATATTCCGTTGGCGGGAAGGGGAGAATCTTTACTTTAGATCCGACTGTTAGCTTAGCAATAGCACGGATATTCTGATTTTTTTAAAGGACTGTATACTAGTACAACAAAGTTTTCGCTGTTCTAAAACAATATGTGCCAATTCCGCTTCATAAAAATTCGCGACTTGGAGAAAATTGAATTATAAGCTAGTTAATCCTCATGACTTATACATTTTTAAAGTTAATATAGATAAAGTAATACTTACTCGATTTAAACACAACAGCTGATTATTATAATGTTGAATATGTTTTAACAATATGTTAAGGGGGAAAAAGATATTGCCGCTAGATCTATCGTTCCTGAAGTTTTGCTTCGCGTTTGCTCCTCTTCTTCAGTCTTCATGTCTTTTGTAAGACCGCTCTTTAAAGATCTTTTAAAGCAAAAGGAGTAACGTCTTCATTTCAACGTAAACGTTTGCTTTCTCTCGAGTTTTAATTTTTAAGATAAGTTTTATAAGACTATAGAAAACCGTCCGTGTGAACGACGATCTGATCACAGCTTCGAGTCGCGCCATACCAGAAAAGAAGTTACGTTCTGGCGTCATGGTTTTTTGACGTCGACGTTGTTCACAAATATGGCATGATGGTTACCCACGTGCGCAAATAAACACCGTCTTAGAAACAACGTATGTAATGCTTTTTTAAAAACAATTTTGTAAAAAAATTCATCAGAGGGATAAGATGACGGAAGATGCCCAGAAAACATTAGCATTTCAATCATTTTGCAGACTATGGAAACCTCCGTCTTCACTTGACCGGCTCGATTACTTATACGGTGAACTTTTCACACAAAACATTGAAGTGGAAAAAAAGTTTACTTCTTCCACATTTGAGGACATTCTCTCGGGAATTACTTTCAGCAACGAGGAGATTCTGGAATTCGACGTAGATGATGCGTACGATGAATTTTTTGAGGCGACAGCAGTCTTTGACAAGAGTTTTCACGATCATTCATGCACAAGGTTTGTAAGCGACACGAGTTCGCCTCAATGCGAATGGTATACCCCCTTTTAATTTTTTTATCATTATTAAATTTTTTCAAGCAGCAATGATTGCTTGTAATAAAGCAATAAAAGAGTAAGTAATAAAAGAGTAAGAGTAAGCAGGCCTACTAGGGAGTTCTTTGCAAAAACCATCTCGCTTCACTTTTTGACTTCAAAATATTTCGTATGCAAACAAGGAGAAGATTTTGAATGTATGGACCTGGCTTTTACACAAACTCCACTGCTGTGAAAGAAGAGTGATTTGAATGCAGTAACTAGTTGCTCCCTCCGTGCTGAATTCATAACTTAATTACTTCCAAAACGACATCCACCGATTTGAACGATATCATCTTAAAATATTTTCTTCTTTTTAGTGTTTGGCCAATCTGCCGAACAACCAGAAGACCTGTGCTCTTGGATTGTGACAAGGTATTATTTTTGTCTGTGATATATAACATAAATAATCTCGTGAGGTAAATACACCTCTGATGTCTACATTTATTTTATACTTTTCTTACAATAAAATAAATGCCAGTAGCACCTCATATGGTTATGAATAGCAACAGAAGCGTGTTCAGAGATGAAGATGTTGACAGATAAAGATGATGAAATTTTTATTACTCTTTATTGAGAACACATTTTATGAATCAATACCATCCAAACAAGCACAGCACCAAATAAAGTCAGGTGAAAAGTTCTCCTCTGGACAACGGATGTATTTTTCCCCCTTAGTCATTATTTTCATTGCCTAAAATAAGAGAAATATAAGTCATAATGAGTGAAGTCATAATAAATTTAGCATGTGCAATTAAAATAAATAATTTTGATACTTGTAAATGTTTAAGTCTCACATGAATCTTCACTATTTCAGATAAATAATTTGTACCTGAGTGCAATAAAAACTCCTGGTTATGGTAGGAAATTTGGTTTCACAGAAGAAAAGGAAGACAAAACTTTTTACAACAACTGTTTTGATCCTCGACTGTGAGTGTTAGATATGAAGGATTTAAACAGACTAAATTTTATTTTAAGAAGTTCACCCTTTCCTACAAATAGTTAAAAGAATATCAAAATGAATGGCTTTTGTTAAAGTTGTAGGTTTGAGTTGGTTTTTGTGCATTACATAACCCTAACTTTTTAATATTTTAAAAATTCAGACAATTCAAAGGACTGTTGGATGAAAAGCTTCTTTTCTGGGAGCACAAGAAAAATGATAAAAAAGTGGACCAGAATCTGTTTCTTGCTTTGGAGAACATCTCAGACATTCTTTATGACCACATATCAAAATACAGATTGTTCCTTTCTGTTCTCACACAACCTTATGACACCCTGATAACTGACCCCGGGGAGAAAATCCACACCCCTGACAGTGACGGGGACATTCACACACCCTCTGATGCCATACTGGACACGCCAAAATTTCCAGTGATTATCAACACAGAAGATAAAGAAGAGATGGAGCTGATAGAGAGAGTTCTGGCTGATAAAATTCAGTCAATATGGACAGGCAACTGCAATGTGCCAAGGACAGGCAAACTTGAGCCAATTTCATGCCCAGTTTCTACAAAGTGGTCCAAAAGATTAGATCCTCTGGATCAACTTGACTTAACACCTGTGACGAGACCCAAGGTGGAAACTACTGACGCGGTTGCTCCTGCTTCTGCTCGAGGTGGCTCAGGAAGAACTACAACAACTGACTCTGAAGATATAGACCAGTACCTGAAGGAAATTTGGTCTGAGATACATGAAAAGGATTTATTTGAAGATATTACCGACATGTCTGTATCTTCTTTTGAAATGGAGTCCCAAGATAGTCAAGAGAGTATTGAAGTTGATAACCCGTCAGTTCCATCGAACACAGAAGAAGATATAAACTCTACAGATGATGGACACCAGGAAGAGGCTGCCTCTGTTTCACAAAAGAAATGCACCTCTCAGCCAGAGCTGAGCCACCTTGCTGAAAGGTAACAAAATAATAAAATTACATCCATACAACATTTTTATGAGTGTAAAAAGCACCTGGCATCATGTGCTGGCACCGACCTGATGATGATGATGATGATGATGATGATGATGATGATGCCCAGTGTAAATATGATCATTTAAGAAAAATCTAAATTGTAAACTTTTAAAAATCAATTCAAACAATTCACATTTTCTTTGCTCTCCTAGTGTGCCTGACAGTAAAAGAGAAGAACAACAGCAGCATGAGGAATTCCAAATGGATACTGATGTTAAACGAAGACTGCCCATAAAGCCATGTCCGTCCGACTCTGCACTGTACACAAGCCCAAGCAGGTTGGTTCAAGGGATAAATTGTCAAATTCAGTAGAAAAACAAAGTAAATATGGAGTTCGAATACTTTTTAACTGTTTTGGTCAAACATCAATTTCAATATCACAACAAACTGATTTTTCTATGAAGACCAAGTAACATATACTTGCGCATATAATATTATATCACATCTACATGTATATGGGCAAAGACTGAAATGCTGCTGTTATATCAACGTATAGAACATCACTCATTTCTGTCTCTTTTAAGGCTGATAACAACAAAAGGGATCAAAGATGCCACTGAGCTTGTGGGTCAACCTATTCCAGTTCAGACTACAAACAGACAAGAGGTTCCCAGAAAACACATTGCCCAGGTACCAGATGGAGCATTTTCTGGGTTTTTAAAACTGCTGCTTATAATAAAGAGAGATCCCTCCCCCTGATCCCAGTTTTTGGGAGCTTAAAGATTGTGAAACACATCTACTATAAATGTCTTACACCCCATTTCCATAGATTAGATCGACCTACTTTAGATCGACCTAACTCCCTGGGGGTTCACGCTAAATAGCTGTCAGCCGGACGGACACGAAAGTTAATTACCTCCTTACAGCTTGTAGTAGGCGGGACGGACATTTAAGTCGGATTATCTGAAAGTAATCTAGTGAGACTCCCCGCGGGGATAGATCGATCTAAAACCTATGGGAATAGAGCCTAAGAATTTATGTTACCTTTCAGGTGCAGAGGTCAGGAGACTACCCACCTTCAGGCTGGCATACCCAATGTCATCAGACATGGACTTATATCAATGCCACAGGCCGACCACAGTCCTCCTATCCTAACCGGCTGTCTCCTGGATTTTCAACTACGAGCCAAGTGCCTGGTGCACACTGGACTCAAGGTGTGCAGGACAGCAGCAAACAATGGCTCCAACAACAAAACCAGGTGGCCACTGTACCACACAACAGTGGACATCACCATCCTCATCAGCATCATCATCAGACTGCCTCTGTCCAGTTTTGTCAACCCAAGTACAGCGTTGCCCAGGACCCAACCCCCCAAGTGCAGACATGGCAGCAGAACCAGCTGGCGCCCCCTGTGGCACACCTGGGCCTGGCAGGGGGGCAGGTGTGGCAGCAGTGGCAGAAGCAGTATCATGTGCCAGGAGCAGGAGGGGGTCAAGCTAGCAGCCAGCAGCAGATCCAGGGTCAAATCTTCCAGCACCCTGTGAGCAAGCTGCCCCCTGGTGGTCTCCCTCAGACCTACAGCCTCCAGCAGGTACGCCAGGGTCAGATGGGGGAGCCAACCCCTTACCAGCAACCAGTGCCCTCTCAGTCCTGGCAGACTCGGGACAGGATACAACAGAAGAAGAGCTACCCTGTCCCCACAAGAACCATTCACCCTGTCTACCTTCAGAATCAAAAGCTGGCCACTTACGCCTCCATGAAGGACACTGGAGACAGGCACCTGCTGGCCGTCCGTCCCCAGGGAATCAACCCAAACAACCTGGTGCAGATCAAGGTGGAGGACCTGTTCCAGTCAGCGGTGGCTCATCAGGGCCAGAACAACCCCCTACAGAAGCCCGTCTCACTCAATCAGGTCTCCAACACCCTTAGAAGCCCCGGCAGCAGGACAAAGACGACAAAACCTCTGGACTCTGGGAGTACTTCTGGCAGCCCTGTCATCAGGATGGACCACAGCTGTGGAGGAGTGGAGCTTGCTTCAGAAAGGGCAACTCCCAGTCTCCATGCCACTCCATCTGTGGTGGACAGCAAGACTCAAGAGGCTATTGAAAAGTTAGAAAACACGGCCTCTATGCTCACACCCAATAACCACCCCGCAGAAACGGGACGCAATCATCTGCAGTTGCTGAATGTGAACTCTGAAGTGTTTGTGCCAGGGAAGTCCAGTTTGTTACAGAGGATCCGAGCTGCCCAAAGTAAATCCAAGGCACACTTTTCTAATCAGACTGCAGTCGCTGCCGCAAGAAAGGCAGGGTCTGGACATTTGGCTACTGGTAACGCCATCTTGTGGACATCCAATGCAATCCACTCACACAAAGTGATGTCTGCATGGAAGAATATTTCCCAGGGAAAGTGACGTGGTATCTATTTCTATGGGATCATTTCCAATGAAACTATCATTCTACACTGATCAATCAAACTCCACAGGGACTCTCACTGAATACAAAGGTTAACAGATTAACACGCCTCCTAGCTCCTGGTGTTGAGTATACAGAAAAGCTGGTTGTTAAGCGAATATCTTGGAAACAACTGGAGCCATGTTAATCTGTAAAACTGATTGCATTCAGCAAGAGTCCCCCCACAGTTAGATTGATTTGTGTAGAACAATAGTTTCATTGAGAATGGGCACTATTACTCAAGTGACCTTGCACTTCACGCAGGGAAAAAATTATCAATCAGGGTGAAACGTGATCTGTTTTTAACTTGACTAATGTCCCTGTTTAAATGTTCATATTTTATGAAAGATGTGATCTGAGTCTTTGTAATTTAAAAAAATGTCAAGTATTCAGCTCAAGTATGTAAATACCAACACTCCTCTTTTAACCTATACCCATTAATCGACTTTTTATCATAAAAAAAAAAAACACTTACTATTTTATTTTAAAATGTTGTTCATGGGATACTAATACCCAATCCACCATCTACACACAAAACCTGGAGGAGAGAAATATCAATATGGTCTCTATTATAACTGCAATCAAAATATCATAGTCAAATAATTTTTAAATTTCAAACATAATGTAATTTTTTTATCTTAACATAATTATTTTATTTGAAAAATAAATTTTTTCACATTTCTTGAATTTTTTCCATACTTTTCTGGATTATTTGTAACAGTATAACATCATCGGTAAATAATGAGAAACTAAATATACTGTTAATCATTAACTAATGTGTAGAATATGAAATATCAAGTAAACTTATTTCTGGCACTGCAAACATACTGAACTCATTTTCTTTGTGTTCCTGGTTTTCTCTACCTACCTGACCAGTTATATAGGAAGCACCTGCTAAGTACATTGCTACCTCTGCCACTTCCTGTGGCTGGCCCAACTTCTTCAGGGGAATCCTCTTGATGACTGTATCTAGCTGATGTGAGGACAACGTGGCTGTCATATCAGTTTCTATAAAACCTATGGATAAAAACATCATGCTTAGCAGAAAAAGCATACTTCTTTGGTTGAAAGAGTTGTTTGCATTTTTTCCCAAAAGTACCACTTCATACAGAAAATGAGATGCAATTTTCTAGAAAGTTTGGTACATGTACATCATACAAGTTTGTAATGAAATTAAAAGGGCACAAAAGAGGATTTTCGCGCCAAAATTGATTTATCCTGATTTATCCCGAGGTTAACACTGCTTTTCCGCGATTTACCAACCTTTAATCTATCATTCCCGGCACTCGCCNACGTGCCAAAAAATATAGGATTTTACATGGCAAACATATTACTTGTCTTAAAAATGATCTTCTTATGTTAGCTTTCCCCAAAATAAAGACATTTTCTACAAACCAGGAGCAATCAAGTTAACTGTTATCCCTCTTGATGCTACTTCTTTGGCCAAAGATTTTGTGAATCCAACCAACCCTGCCTTTGTTGCACTATACACACACTGCCCTTGGTTGCCTTTCAGTCCAACTATGCTACCTTGAAAGAAAAATTAAAAAAAAAAAAAAATAAATATGTGACAAATTATTATAAAGGACACACTTCACCCCTTTCCAAACATTAGTAAGATCAAAATTAAACCTTTTACTCACATGAAGCCAGAATTGGTTCTGGTTCAAGTCACCAATTTTGGCATCATTTTGCAAATAACAACACAGTACAGATACCAAGGACAAAAGTACTGTACATGACATGCCTCCACTTGGTGTTGAGTAGGTTACAAAAAATCTGAAAATTATATTCAATTCAATTTTCAATTCAANAGTGTAAATTTAAATTTTGCTTCATTGCATTTTGCAGAGGCTTTATACTAATAATAATAATTCATTCAGCTTTTGGTGTTACAGTACATGTTAAGCACTGTTGGCTGGCTGTCCATGCTACCTCTACTGCCAGTACTGAATATTCATGTGCCAAAAAATATAGGATTTTACAGGGCAAACATATTACTTGTCTTAAAAATGATCTTCTTATGTTAGCTTTCCCCAAAATAAAGACATTTTCTACAAACCAGGAGCAATCAAGTTAACTGTTATATCCCTCTTGATGCTACTTCTTTGGCCAAAGACTTTGTAAATCCAACCAACCCAGCCTTTGTTGCACTATATACACACTGCCCTTGGTTGCCTTTCAGTCCAACTATGCTACCTTGAAAGAAAAATTAAAAAAAAAATTAAATAAATATGTGACAAATTATTATAAAGAACACACTTCACCCCTTTCCAAACATTAGTAAGATCAAAATTAAACCTTTTACTCACATGAAGCCAGAATTGGTTCTGGTTCAAGTCACCAATTTTGGCATCATTTTGCAAATAACAACACAGTACAGATACCAAGGACGAAAGTACTGTACATGACATGCCTCCACTTGGTGTTGAGTAGGTTACAAAAAATCTGAAAATTATAAGAGTACATTACAAACAAGAGGCATGTCATTTAGTTAATCTGATTGCATTCAGCAAGAGTCCCCCCAGATCTGGATTAATCTATGAGGAATATTAATAGATTCATTGGGAAGAGCCCTTAAGTGTTCCAGCCTCTTCAACTTGATCCTCACACCTTTCCTTTCCTAACCTATGTTAATGATGCTGCCACTCTTGTTCTGGATCATATGCCTCACCACAGCCTGACATGTTAATATGGTACCAGTCAGATTTGTATTGATCTGTTCATTGATGTCTGTCATTGAAGTTCTCAGCAGCAGTCTGTCCCTGTTGACCCCAGCACAGTTGACCAGGACACTGATGTGTCCGTACTTGACCAGGATGGATTGGACGGAATCTTCCACTGACGTACTTGATGTGACATCGCAATGTAAAGCCAAGATTCTATCCTCATTCACATTCTTCTCCTGATCTAAAATGAGTTACATATACAGTGTACTTGTAAATAAATTTTATATAGTTTTGCTTACTCACAAAAATTAATTTCCACCTGCTACTGGATATCCTTTTAGTTGATCCAGCTAAGAAAATAGCACACGTAGGCTGCATTCAGAACAGCTGACAAATTAGTCCGTGGGCCAAATATGGCAGGCCTGTAGCCAGCAATTTCAGAGGGGGGGGGGGGGTTGTTTTCTGAAAAAGTGGATCTTTTACCATAAAATCCTCAAGTACATAGGTCAAATTTTACCCAGAGTGGACCTTTTCCCGGCAAAAAGGGTGGTTCTTTCGAATCCCCCGAACCCCCCCCCTAGCTACGAGCCTGTATGGTGACCCACTAAAAAGCTTGGCATCTAATCTGCTAATAGACACTGTGGCCACCTGCAATGACACACCACATATGCCCATATGTATCACTATCATTCATGATTAATATTTCAATATTAAAAATTTTTAAATCTTGGGAATATAGTTTTTTTAGGAAAGTCAAGCAATCAGGGATATATATAATCAGTTCATTTTCAATTGCATGAGTAAAAAAAATGNCTTTTACCATAAAATCCTCAAGTACATAGGTCAAATTTTACCCAGAGTGGACCTTTTCCCGGCAAAAAGGGTGGTTCTTTCGAATCCCCCGAACCCCCCCCCTAGCTACGAGCCTGTATGGTGACCCACTAAAAAGCTTGGCATCTAATCTGCTAATAGACACTGTGGCCACCTGCAATGACACACCACATATGCCCATATGTATCACTATCATTCATGATTAATATTTCAATATTAAAAATTTTTAAAATCTTGGGAATATAGTTTTTTAGGAAAGTCAAGCAATCAGGGATATATATAATCAGTTCATTTTCAATTGCATGAGTAAAAAAAAATGCTTTGGTGACAGTTCATTATTACACGAACTGGCACAATTTTACCCCATGTTGATAAAGAGCTTATAAAAACCTTGGGAGTTGGGCCCATATATAGATGCAAGGTAAACCAAAAAACCATAATGCACATTGTATAACTGTTGAAATCATGTTAATTAAATTAATCATTCATACATTTTGAAATGGCTTCTGGGTCTCTTCCTAAAACGGCGACCTTGAAGCCCTCACGCAGAAATCTTTCTGATATAGCTTTTCCTATTCCCCTGGTGCCACCAAACACAGCGCACACCCTGCTGTGGCTCATCTGGCCATGTTACTATCTGCCTGAAAGCATCCAAGACTGGCCAAGTGGTCGCTGATGGTTTTATTTAAAAGATAGCTTATAAGCATGGCGTCTAATTGAATATTGAACAAATAAGTATTAACATCATGAATTTTAAACATTTACATAAAAATTTAGTATTATCAAAGTACGTGCAATTGGCATCTCTTGACCTGAACCTAATAATTTAGCATCGGTGCTGTTAAAACTACTTTTCATGTTGGAGGGAAATTTCTTTGTAAATTTTGGAAAAGGTACACTGCGACTTCATTTCACTGCGTTTCAGCTCCATGGATTTACATACATTTGATGTTTAGAATTTATCTGGGATGTCAGAGAGAAAATCGTCCAGGTAAACGAGAAATATAGATCATTGCACTTCGNCAAAGTACGTGCAATTGGCATCTCTTGACCTGAACCTAATAATTTAGCATCGGTGCTGTTAAAACTACTTTTCATGTTGGAGGGAAATTTCTTTGTAAATTTTGGAAAAGGTTCACTGCGACTTCATTTCACTGCGTTTCAGCTCCATGGATTTACATACATTTGATGTTTAGAATTTATCTGGGATGTCAGAGAGAAAATCGTCCAGGTAAACGAGAAATACAGATCATTGCACTTCAGGATCAATGAGCAGATATTGGTGATAAGTTGTTGACATTGCCATTGCAACTTCGTTTTCAGTTGCAGTCTCAGCTGGCATTCCATTATTTGCATTTATGTCGAATAACTCATATTTAAGTTCTTATCCTAAATTGCAGTGAGAAATAGTAAAATGTGTTATGTGCCAACTGGAACTTCTTCAATACTGTTTCTTTCCTTTAATGTTAGAGCCAAGAAAGTGGTAGATTATGCAACCTTTGGGGATGAAGATGGCGGCAGTGATGGTAATAACTGTTATTCTTCACTTGTTTCATATTAACCATTTTATTGTCAATACATATCATTCACCTGGAGATCAACATGTTTAAAATGAATGCTTTGTTTAATGTGATTATAGCAACGTAAAGACATTACAGATAATGTTAGTAATTACTAGTAAAAGGATAAAACACCTTCTTTCCAATATCTCTGATGAAATTGAATTAATTCCAGTTTTTGATGTTCACTTGATGCAAATTACAAAATAGAGGCAGCTGCTTTTTTGTTGTCTACAACCTCACATGAAATATATACTGATTTGTAGAAAGAATAAAATTCATATTTAGATGATTTTGCAACCCCAACGCCACCACCTTCAAAAAAGACCAAACTTTCAACAAAGGAGAGCAAACCTAAAAAAACACAGAATATTGAAGCAAGTGCAAAGAAGTCAAAAAAGTAAGTATTTTAAGTAGAGTTTTAGCTTTGGATTCCTGCCAGAATTATAACTCTAGACTGTGACTTTAAATCCACTTCAATATTTAGAGAAGGAATACCTACCAGCATTTTGTTCTACTCAATATTGTCTGCTCTATAATTTATTTGTCCTTTCACCACCCCCTTCCCCCCCCCAAAAAAAAAAAAAAAAAAAAAAAAAAACTTAGACTCGCCCTTCAAGAAATCGATGCCTTCAAGAAATCGACGAAAACCGGAAGTGCATGTTTTTTGCACTGTTTTTCCTGTCATGCCCATCGTAAACACTGTGTTGTCAAGTAAAATGAAGCGTCTGATACAAAGTATCAAACGCGGCATTCACGTGCTTGCTTGCGATGCGTTCAGTACACTTTGTTTACACTGACAAGTAGAGGTCAGAAATGCACAATGTTTTTCTATGTAATTACGTAGTTTCAGTTTTGATAAATGAATTTTCTTTTATCAGCATGGTCATTTTCCGAACATTTGTATAAGCCACGAAATATTTCTCATCGGAAAATCACCCAGCAGCTTTCCAAGTACAAGCGAGTGACGTCATGACGCACTTCCGGTTTTCGTCGAGATCTTGAAGGGATTAGCGTTACGGTTTGCTGCACATTTAAAGCATTCTGTCTCAAAATGTACTTAACTGCTTGGATTGAAATTTACGGAACTTATTCTTCACATGCTATCACACCTATGTGCCTAATTTGAGAGCTTTAGCTGTTATATGTTTTCTATAGTGCCCATTCAAATTTGAAAAAGAGCTATTTTCCGTCGATTTCTTGAAGGGCAAGTCTATGTCCCATCATGATCAGGAGTAGAAATCCATGTTTGCATATTTTCTTAAATTTTGCAGTTTACACAAGGGGTAAAGTATGTTAAACAACATATGTTTTAACCAAGGTACAAGTAATTGTTTGATTTCTTATTTTTTTTTTTTACTGAAGAAGAACGGCAGTTGAGGAGAGGGTGTTTGATAAAGAGTTACAACTGGCACTTGAGCTGTCCATGTCTGAAACTCAGCTGCCTCCACCCCTTGAAACTTCAACACAAATACCAAAAGATGAAGGCAAGAAAGAATGTAACAAGGAAAATGCAGGGCAAAGTATGAAGAAATCCTTTATCTTTCCCTGTAAGGCAGTAGTGCTTATACAGGAAAAAGTTTAAGTCATAGTTTTTTTCTTTTGGTGGTCCATTAAATAAGCGAGTTTTTTTTTTTTTTTTTTGATAAAGTTATTGTTGGCAATGAATTTATTGAATCTGTTTTCTGTTTTAATTGAATCTCCCATGTTTTCTTCAAGATGCAGCACAGATGCCGGACCTTGATGCTATAGAAGAGCTGGGATCTGTAGAGATTAAAGATGATGACACCAAGCCAAGAGCAAAGAGGAAAGCTGCCGCTGATGCCAACAAGAAGCGGAAGCTGATGAGTGATGATGAGGAGGAGGAGGAGGAGGATCAGGAAGATGAGACTTCAAAACAGAAGGGAGTTGTTACTGATTGTGATGATGACTTCAGTATAGATAAGGAATTAAAAGGTAAATTCATTTTTTCACATATAACATGTTATTGAACCAGAAGATACTACATGTAATAATGGAAAATTTGGATTTATTGCTAATGTCATGTTTTTTTCTTTTTGTTTACCATACATTAATTATAAAAAGTACCAAATTCATTCTGATCTAAGTTTATAGTTTAACTTGCCTCTTAGATTGAACTGTGTATTTGAAGGGTTAAATGTTTATGGTGTATTGTTTATCTAAAGGTAAAGAATCTGAGGATGAGGAAGATGAAGATTTTGACATGGAAGATGAGGAAGATAGCGACTATGAAATAGAGAAAACCAAAGTTACAAAAGGAAAAAAGGGAAAAACCCCAAAGAAAGAAACACAAAAGCAGGGAAAAGGTAAGATAAAACTTGTACTCATTGTCGGGTCCGACATAAAGATCATACGAAGTAATATGACGTAATATGTTATAGTGCAATAGCTTTTGAGTAATGCGGCGGTCTCTATGTATGACGCCGAAGTAAAGAAATTAATTATACTATTAAAGGTAATTATGTTTGACGTACATCTCATACTAGTGCAGCACTGGATCCATGTAAAGATAACAAAATAGTATTTAAAGTAAGTGATGAGAGGGATACGGGGAGATATACTGGAGACATGTAGAAGGAAGCAACGAAGGAGGAGGTTGGAAGCGACGATGTACGGAGCGAGACGTAGTTAGGATTTGGAGACTTCACTTAGAATATCATGTAGTTACCGAGCGTCAACGAATAAATCATTTAACTGGTCATTATGTGGACTTGGGTTTTCTTTGCGCGACCTTACGTATTCTGACACGAACCGTGGAGTCTTTGGATTGCGTTATCCACTAAGTTAGACGAAAACGTTATGTCCTATTTCGAGCCCACGCTTGAATTAAGCGTTCAAAATTATATAAGTTTAGGACATTCGTCATNGGATACCATGCTCCGGGTTGGAGTGGTGAAACTGGTATTTGAGACCAGGGATTTTATGTTGATCTCAGGCCTGCCCAAGGAAGGGTTAGGTAACAGAACGGGTGTTCTGTTGGAACTGGGTAGATTATATTTATTTTTACTGTTGTCTTGAGTAGCCAGCCATGATTGAATAGACAGGACAGGTGTTCAATGACGAAATTAATATTATTTGTAAAATAAGTGGCGTTTTTCCTCATTATGTTAGCACTGATTAACGTTAATTATTTTTAAAACAAAGGCGAGCTCGTTAAGGGATATTTTTCCTGGATTAAATGGTTATATCCAAAGTGAATTTCTATTTTAATGCGATTTAAAAAAGAATATGGTACAATGACGTCAGATATTGGAGAGCAGTTTAAATAACTTCCATTATCTTGGGGGATTCTCAGCAAACTTTCTTTGGCCCGCTGGACGTGCCTATAGGAGGGGACTTGGGAGAAAAGGGTCCGTCTCCCATGTCTGAACGGGATTCTTCTTGATTTTGTGAGATCTGTTGCCAGTTTTCTGTTCATCATTAGAACGGATAACGCGTAAATAATGCAGTTTAAGAATAAAAAGAAAAAGATTATTGATATTATATTGTATTACGAAGAAAATTATTATTTTTTCTTGTATATCGTTTTAGGTGGAATTAAATGGTCTGTGCATCGCCGTGGCTGTGTCCCCGACTCTCAGATGGTTGGATTGTGACAACGCCCCCCGCCTGCCCTGGGTGTCTGAAGCAGAGTTTGAGTACTTCGTCCGTAGCATCCTTGAAAGCAAGCAACTCTACAGCTGAATGGTGGACCCCGCCGACGCCACGATGTGCACTTCGCCCTGCCATTCGCCGACGAGCCATGATTTCAATTGAAAGACTTTGAAAGTGTTCACGCCGTTGTTAAAAGACTCTAAAATACTGTCATCGTCATGAAAAGACTTTGTTATATAAGACGCTAAACTGCCCGGTTTCCAGAGCTATTTTTCCCAATTTTGATAAAGAAAGATATAAATTAAAGGGTTTTATCTCTGGTTTTCCCCCGGGCGTACACTAAAACATGTAATTAAATTTTCGTTTCGTTTTGTAAATATTGTATATATTATTAGAGTGAACGTCTCCAACACGAGTAATGAAAAAAAAAAAGTTTTTTTTTTCTGGAAAAAATGGAAGGAATATGTCGGGTCCGACATAAAGATCATACGAAGTAATATGACGTAATATGTTATAGTGCAATAGCTTTTGAGTAATGCGGCGGTCTCTATGTATGACGCCGAAGTAAAGAAATTAATTATACTATTAAAGGTAATTATGTTTGACGTACATCTCATACTAGTGCAGCACTGGATCCATGTAAAGATAACAAAATAGTATTTAAAGTAAGTGATGAGAGGGATACGGGGAGATATACTGGAGACATGTAGAAGGAAGCAACGAAGGAGGAGGTTGGAAGCGACGATGTACGGAGCGAGACGTAGTTAGGATTTGGAGACTTCACTTAGAATATCATGTAGTTACCTAGCGTCAACGAATAAATCATTTAACTGGTCATTATGTGGACTTGGGTTTTCTTTGCGCTACCATACGTAAATCTGACACGAACCGGGGAATCTTTGGATTGCGTTATCCACTAAGTTAGACGAAAACGTAATGTCCTATTTCGAGCCCACGCTTGAATTAAGCGTTCAAAATTATATAAGTTTAGGACATTCATCATAGGCATATGTAAAAGGTTAATTACATCATGTCAAAACAGAATATTATTGTCTTTGGACAGAGAAGGCTTCATTTTTTAAAATGCTAGATTTTTTCTTTAACTGTTAAGAATCAAGTTAGTATCAATAATCTTTTATATTTTTTACTTCAGACAGTGCAAAATTAAAATCTAAAGAAGTCTCAGCTACCAACAGAAAATGTGCATCAAAGATAACAACCAAAAAGGCAGCTGGAACAATAGCTTCACCATCAGTAACAAGAGCACCATTAGCAGTTTCAAGGACACCTTCAGCAGTTTCAAGATCTTCATTATCAAGTCCAGGAGTTGGAGCGCCAAAGTGGAAGCCTCCAGGTATGCACGCTTTGCTCTTATCCAAATAAGACTATTTGATTTCTATACAGTAGTCAAAATATACAGACTACATGTTTTTATTTATGCTTAATTAAATGGAAGCATCACACTTTGAGGTTTTGAAATAAATAATTTGCATTAAATGCTCTGCTGTGGGCAGAGATCTACACTTGTACCTGTCGTGTCACTATCTGGTTGATAACCGTCTTGGATCTCCTGTAAACCACAAAGGCCAAATTTGATCAAAAAACAAAAACATAATAACTCTAAGTGGCTAGAAATAATCATTTTATTCATTTTATTGACCCAGAAGGTGGCATGCCCTTTAAAAAGAAATACAGGTAATACTGATGCTTGTTTTTCTTCTCTTTTAGCATTATTGAAGTCTGGAACTTCACCCTCTGCATCTACCTGTGGCAATGGTATGATATCTCCGACAGGATTGAGACTTGGCCTGTCCAGAAATATCAGAGTATCAAAGCCATTACACTCCAACATTAAAGTACATCAGTGAAATATTTGCTGCCAGTGGAAAGATGAAGAATTTGATAGTGGCCAAAGGATGGAAGACATCATTCAATGATTTTTTTTGTTTGTTTTAATATCAGACATGTTATTTAAATTAATATGAAATGAAATGAAGTGTTAATTTTAATATATTCATAAGCCTTCTAACAAGTTGTGGAGAACAATCTAAGCATAAAAGGGGATATTATGTGTTCATCAAACATCTTTACTTACCCTAAGCCTTGTTATGTGTATCCCCATTGAAGCCATGTCTGCTTACAAATGGATTTTTTTTCATTCTTTTCATTTTGAGGCTTCATACAACAGTTGTTAAAGGGTTAATAACTATTTGTGAGACTTAAAATTCCACATTATATACACTGTAAACAGTGTTTGCCTCTTAAGAAAATTAGTTGCTGGACTGAAAGTTCAGCCTTCTTGAAAAGTAGCTGGCTCAATTGTCTGGCGGGTGGGAAAACTTCTCAGCCCCGTGCAGACGGTCCAGTGTCAATTTCCAATGCTAGCTGTAAACAATGCATAGAAATTTAATGAATTCCATTTTACCAAAACGTCTGTAGTCAATTTTTCTGAAATCTGTACGTCATAGGATCGCATGGACCTTCATAAATGGCTACCCTCCTTAGTAATCTCTTATAATATTAAATTTCAAAAGATGTGCTTGAAAAAACCCAAAGGACTAACCTATTGTCGGAACAGATTTATTAACCATTAGAAAGTATTAGAAAAGCATTTTCCCTATGAAAATATGTATTATGCCACTTTTCCTGCCAAAGTGAAGAGTTCTTATCCCATTAAGAAGCCAAATTGCAGTATTTTTAAATTGCACTTTACTCACTTAACAAGCGAGTTTTCGACTTCACCATGGTATACCCGAGGCACAAATTGTACATACAAAGACATTGGCTACTGCTGCACCGTTACTCAAATAGAGCAAGGAAAGGAAATGAGTCACAATGCTGTTAAATTTTTAAAATTTTATTTCAAGGCAGTTTTTATTTTCATTATCTCCCAAGAATTTTATGTATATTACAATGTAAATAAACTCAATCTGTCTGTATTGTCAGTGTGTGTGCTAATTATCATTTACAACAAAATGTTAAGAAAAGAAATCACGATACATCACTGTGATAGTTATTGTTTACAAAAATTTCCAAAGATTCAATGTGCTAGAGCTAGATCAAAAAATTGCATAAAAGTTTATAATGTAATCACTGAACTCCAATAAGTGGTGTAAAAACTATAAAACTGCATAAAAAAATCTGAAGAAATTGGTACATGTGAAAAAATATCTAATCATCTTTCAATATGAATTACAAGAAAAAGTCGTACACTGGTGCAAAATCATTTGGCATGTCTGTGGCGTTATACAATCAATTTGGAATGATGGCACTGATAGAGGCTTTTTTACAGCATACTCTGGACTGGACGCTTTCTGAACAGATGGAAGGCAAGCAGCCATTCATTTCCATCTTTGTATCCAAATACTTCGGCAGTAAACATGAAGAACATTCTCCAGTTGAAGAGGTTCTGATCTGCTTCACTGTCGTAAGTTTCCTTCAATATACTCTTCACAGTATCGATATTTTGATCCAGTCTCTCCAGCCATGCCTCTAAAGTCTTTGTATAATGCTTCCCATTCATGATCCACTGATCAATAACTTGCAAATCTTTCTGGAAGTAGAGAAATAAGTCCGCAGACTGCATTGTTCCCCCAGAGAAGAAATTTCTGGCCATCCATTCAGTGTCAGACCCTTTTCGCACATCAAATTCATATGGAAAGCTACGATGGCAGAGGATTTGGGTGAGGAGAAGCCCGTCCGGTTTAAGCCAAGAGGCCACTCTCTCCAGCAGTTTCTCCAAATTCTTCATATGTTCCATCATCTCTATAGATATAACACGGTCAAACCTGGTCTCAGTGTTGTAGACATTGGCATCACAAGTAATGGCCTGAAGTCGCCGACCAAACCCTCTTTTCTCTGCCTCTCGTTGTATGTGCTCACGCTGCGTCCGCGAGTTGGAGACGCATGTAACTTGGCAGTTGGGAAACTTCTCGCAAATGTACAACCCCAAAGATCCCCAGCCGCAACCGAGGTCCAACACTCGCTGTCCATCTTGCAACTGAGCTCGTTCACATATTTGTTTCAAGCCAGCGTCTTCGGCCTGTTCAAGCGTCTGCGTTCCGGGTGGCCAGAAGCAGCTGCTGTATTTGAGTCTTTTCCCCAAACAGGCCTTGTAGAACTCGGTAGGTACTTCGTAGTGCTGCTGGTTCGCCGTCGTGGTCTCAATAGCAATTACAGGTGAGCTTTTCAGCTTAGCAATTAATCGCTTTTTGAAGGCTAATTGTTTTTCTACGTCACCACCGCAATCCAACTTTTTCAGCCAGTTCCCCAAATTTTGTCTGACGGCTTCTCGCAAAGATTTGTCAGCCGACATTACCAAAGTAAGTTTCAGAATTTCACCTGCTGAGCTCGTCGACCAAAGGTTAATGCCATTGCCGATACTCCATTTTACAGTCTCATTTTCACTATCTGCAAAACAACATTAAATCTTTGAAAACGAGGCCTGAAGGTCACGGTAACTTCACATAGATTTCACCAATGCCAACTAGCGTTGCAAGTCTTGTGAAATGTCCAATCGAAATCAAGCTTTCAATACTCCATGAGTGGGAAAAAACAAAAAGTGAAACTAAAAGCCCAAGCGGTATTTCTGGTGAGGTATTTCCGAAAAATTGAGCAATTAAAGGCAAGAATGACAAAGTTAATTCTGAAAATTTTTGACAGCTTGTGTAACGAAAGAGTTTTCATGTCATAGTTCATATGTTATGCAAAAGAAATGTAAACGGAAGTGCACTCGGATTTCAAGAATCAAAAGTTTTATCGGATTCTTATAGTGGAGTATATAGATGATCTTGTTATAGATCTGTACATGAAACTTGAAAGCAGACAGGTTTACATGTACCGGGTGTACAGGCTGAAATGTTGACAAATTACGGTCACGTGGTCAGATCGTCGTGCAGTCTGGCGCACCTAAAGTTGATTACTTTTGATATGGTTAACGCATTAATTTTTAAAAAAATTAAGTGCATGTAAGTACCCAGTATTTCAATTAATGTTGTGATAATGATGTACAGTTTCAATTGTAATATTTTTTTATTCTAACAATACTTTACATGTGTATGTGAACAAGGTATCCTCCTTCTATATGCATTATTTGATTGAATTTACAAAAATGTCTTAAAATTATCTCAATAGCAGCTGTGGTTATTAATTATATATATATAGGTACAAGATATTAATTACAGAGAAAAATTACAATTTAGAGTAGTATGAATGAGCTAGGATAAAATATGACAATCTGATGTAAAAATAAGTATTTACAAATTAGTCAGTTTCAGGATATTTACAAAAAAAAAAAAAAAAAAAAAAAGAAAAAGGATTTTGCTATTTATATAACATTTCTTACTAGTAATAAATGTCCATTAATTTTGTTAAAAAGTCTATGCACAGGATCTCAGAGCTAATCATGCTCTAGGCATAAATGTTAAACTATTTGTATGCAATATTCAGTTAAGCATTCAAATGGTCAGACCTTATAAAATCATATGTGCCTCCTTTTGCTGATTGTCTCCACCGCCCAAGTTGAGCTCATCTTCACTAATTTGGTTTTCTATAATTACTGTGTCATCACACAGAGGGCAGCAGTAGTCTAAGTCACCATAACACTCTGGGCAGTATACTCCAGTGCAGTGCGGTGTGTCACATATAGTACATGTGTCGTCACAGAGAGTATCACATGATAGACAGTACTTCTTATGTGCAAGTCTTTTTAAACATGGCACCTTCTCTGCCAACACCTGCATCACTTTGATGTTCTTTTTTGAAAGGTCTGGTTCATTTTCCCCTTTCAGTTTTTGTCGAAAAACAGCTCTTAAGCTTTGTCTCTTCTTTAATAGCTTGTTGTACAGGATAACCACCCTTGCCCTTTCGCGTTCTGGGTAAAAGAAAGCAACAATCTTGTGACGAAGTCTTAAGCCATAAGCCTGTAGCAAGGTGATAAACAAAGCAAATGTGTAGATAGCAAGTATTCCATAGAGCACATTATAGTTGGGTGGAGATGGGTTTGGGAGGCATTCTGCTGTGGATATATTTATAAATGATGTATTTCTAGATGTGTCGGTAGTCGGCCACTCTTCTTTCAAACCATTAGCCACTGCACCCTCTCCAGAGATCTTGGATGTTAGATTGTATGGAAAACCAATATCAAAGTCAACCCTTCCATGTTTTTGTATTTTAGACAAAAGCCAGAAAAGGGCAAAATCAAAGAATTGGATGATACCTGCCAGCAAACAATGCACCAACAGCAGGACCAAACCTTGGGCAAATTTCCACTTTTCTGCTGGAGAGAGGCAAATGGCAGTGGTATCAATTAGGTATTTAGCCTCTTTCTTTTTAAGTGGAAGAATTATTTCTCTACTTTGTTTCTGCTTTCTTTTTTCATCGAGGGCCTTAAAACCTTTTGTTATGTACAGATTGTCAAACTTATCATTTTGTAAGTACTGCTTGAGGTACCAGTAAGATTGAAAGAAAAGAAGGAGAACTGCAAAAGACATAAGTTTGGTGAGCAAAGTAGAAAACTGAGCTGCATAGTCAGTGGCTCTTTTGAGTTCAGATTTAATGGCCCTTTCAACTTCCTGTGGATCTTTGGAAGAATTTGTGGATAATCCAAATGAAGCAGAAAGTTCTGCACTGAATTCAAATTGTTTTTTAATTTCTTCAGGTATATGCGGAGTATTTGTTTTGGGTAAAAAGTAAGCCAGAAAGCCAAGGCTACTCTTGATTGTAGATAAAGTTTGCGCTATACTCTTATATTGTTCTCTTAGTTTATTTTTAGTTTTGTTGATAGTGTCAAAGGTCTTTTTCAAGGTTTCTCTGAATTCTTCAGTGATTGCCTCAATTTGTTCTTCAACACATTTTTGCATGAGCTCTGCTTGCTCTTGTAGCTTACTTGCAGTGCACGTTACAATCTGACTTGTCTGTTCGCCATTTTCAAAGATATTTGTGATTGGTCCATTGAGCAGCAAAGTCATAATGATTGACAGTGTTGCTGCCCGCCCCCTGGTGGTGCAGAGACCTGGGATCATAAGCAAAGCAATGCAACGACAATGCACAGAAATAGCAAAGCCAACAGACATGAAAATAGTAGATAACCCAGCAATAATACACGATATCACCAGGCTGTAACCTATGGCATAGTAACAAGCTAAATATAATACGGCACCTAATAAGCCACCGACAAGGGCACCTGTAAACGACTTGAACTTTCTGTGTTTTCCTCTTGGACTTCTGATGAGTTTTTTGTTCAGCATTTGTAGTGGCGTTTTAGTGGCTTGTAAGACCTGCCTTTTTGAAAGATGACGTGGTGTTGCTTGATCTCTTCTCTCAGTTGATCGTTTGCGGGAGGATTGTGGAGTACTATTATCTTGAAGTTCTTTGATCTGTTCTCTTTCTCTAACTTGATCTGGATCCACCTGTTTGACATTGATGTAGGGGTCAGGGTAAGAGGTGCAGTGGACGGGCGCAATGGTGTCCAGGGCAGCTTTTTCTGTTACATCTGATGACACTTGCGAGTTCTCATCCCCGAAATCACCAAATGTGCTATTTCTTGCTAAGGGCATTGAGGCAGCTGACTCACGGGCATCTTGCGTGTGGTCAAGGCATCCTTCTGGGCCAGTTACATATGAGTTGACATCTGTCTCAGCATGTCCTTCATTAACGTATGATACTTTGTGTCCAGTGCATATCTTGACAGGAATACTGGCAACATCACCCATGTGAAGATATGCTGAGTCTAGCTTCTGGGGATCTTCTGTGTTCAGTGAGTTTGTTCCTTTAAGTTTGGGTGCCTGATTCATTTTAACATGGGGCTTGTTTGGGGAGCGGAAGTGGACTGCAATTGAACCTCTGTTTGCTGATCTGTGGTTACATTTACTAGAAGTAGGCCTCTGGTCTTCTTCAATTTGTTTTAATGGCTTTTGAATTTCATTTCCACCCACCTTCAGCTTATTGGCTTTTTTCCTTTTATATTCTCTAACAGCAGCAAGGGGAAACAGACCTGTTTTTTGTTGCCCCAAGCTGGTACCTTTTGCCCAGTTTGCATCATTAGAGAGGTTCTTGACATTAGTCAGGAGTTCTCCTTTGCTGAGGCGGAGTTCATAGTCATGTTTGGGTGTGTGTGTCTTGATGGCTTGATAGATTCTTCCATCCACTTCATCAAATCTGGAATGTTTTCATGGTAGTTAAAATACTGTGTATACGGTAAATGATACAGCTTTGTTTCAGGCAATTACAAAGAAATCCATATTTTAAAAAAACTTGTTTTATTTGAAATTTGCTAGTTTTGTCTTTAAAGAAAAAAATATTTGATAGAAGAAAATTTGCCAATATCTTTGTGAGCTTTAAAAAAATCTTTTTAACTATAGTTAGTTACCTAGGCTACATTTTAAAATTTGTTTCTGTGTAAAAATATTTCATTATGTAGATTTCTCAAATTGAATTCTAGTTGAAATTAGGAATCAGAATTTACACTGTTTAAATCTTTTAATTCTGGTTAATCATTTTTTAAACCATGGCTTAAGCCAGAGTGATACCTATAGAAATGAAGTCAACCGTGAAGTATGCACTGTACGTATTATCTACTAGTAAACACCTTCAAGAAAACAGTATACCTTTCTGTTTCAGCATCCATGTTTTCTTGAGAAATAAGACTGAGTGCTGCCGATCGTTGCCCTGGGGTCTGTTATGTCTCCAGCTAGGAGCAATAACTTTTATATATACCCTGCTTATCAAGGAGTATTTTCCATGCACATCATGATCTGAATTTTGGGTATCATGACCTCATGCTTCTGTTTACACAAGTAAACGGGCACTGTTAAATATGAAAGTGAAACACCAAAGATTGACACATGGGAATTTTAGTGCTTTCCTGGATAGCGAGCAGCAAGTTTTGATTGTTTGTATATTTGTATTGCTTTTTATGTTTAAACAACACATTTACTTTTTATTTTATTTAACCTTGGCCCAACTGCAAAAAAATTTATGTATGACTAATAAGAAAAAAATAGCCAAATGTAGCTGAATATAATATAAGATTATTCATACTTTGCACAATAATTGAGGACAAAAACCTTTAAAACTTAATTCAGTGGTCTAGATAGGAAAACATATGAGTAATATTTTCTTAAGGGATTTAAACAAACATAATTACTTATGTTGTTGTCAAAATTTCCTAAAACTGAAACCAAAGTTGCTTTGTAGGTCTTAAATAAAGTTCAGAAGTCATCCAAAAGTCATTTTATTGCTATGAATGGATTAAAATACAAAATGACAGAAACTAAGTGATGCAATCCTGTAAATCTATCATGATGCACCATAAATATGTGTTAATTGTGGCTAGTTAAATATATAAATATAGTAAAATCAATAGAAAATAAACTCTTTAAATGTTCTCAGTCTTACTAGTACATACTCAAATAATATTAATTTCATTCTGTCTCTTGATATAAACCTATATACATATTTATAATATTTACATTTTGAAAATGATGCACTGCCGGTAGTACACATGCAGTTTCTGTGAATGAGCAGATGTAAAAAAAAAAAAAAAAAAAAACAACTTGAATACTGTAATAGTGCTACAGCAGTATATTGTGCGTCTGAAGACTTATCACAGAATATTGTTACAGAAAATAATTTACATGGACATTTAATTTAACTCTAAGAGAAGACAGTGAGGTAGAATAAACTTATGGACTAACAACTATTTCTAAGTCATCAGGATGAACAACTTCATCTGCAATCAGCATTTTATCACATATGGGACAGCCCTGCTTGAGGTCCACGTAACACTCCCTGCAGTAAACCCCTGGGCATCTGACTGTAGGGCATTTATACATGTCCCCCCTAGCCTCCCCAGTGGCACAGGAAATACACAAGGTTTTTTTGACACCAGTAACTTGAAAGATAGTTTTCAAGCAGGGGATTTTTACTGCAAGTGTCTCCGTGATGCTGATGTTTTTCTTTGAGATATCAGTCTTGTTATCTCGCTTGAGTTTGTCTGCTAAAGCTTTCAGTATGCCTTTTCTTTTATGCATGGTTTGATTATACAGATATATAATTCTCGAGAGTTCTCTCTCTGGATAAAAATAAGCTACTATCTTGTGGCGGATCCTGAGAGCGTATGCTTGAAGAAAGACTAAAAGTATGGCAATAATGTAAATGACAAGTATGGCGATATCTATACCTAATTTTGGAGCAGAAGCTTCAGGAAGACACACTGTCGTAGACACAGAGCTATTGTAATTGTTATTTGATTGAAAACCCTGAATAAAAGTACGAAAGAAATGTGCAAGTATTCCATGTCCTTCAATTGAAAAATTGACCTCTTGTTTTCCAGACACTTCAAAGTCAACATTGCCGTGCTTTGATATGACACTGAGCAACCAGTAAAGAGCGTAGTCAAAGAAGCAGACGGTACCAGCCATGATGGCATGAATTAAAACTGAAACAAGACCCACAAACAGCTGCGACTTTTCTGCGGGTGAAAACCAAAGAGAAGTGGTATCCGTAAGGTATTTCTTTTCTCTTTTCTTCAGTGGCAGAATGGTTTCTTTTCCCTGAGTTTTTCTTTTCTCATCTAGGTATTTGAATTTGTGAGTAATGTAGATATTGTCGTACTTGTCTTTCTTGAGGTATTGTTTTAGGTAGAAATATGATTGAAAAAATAACAGAAGAACAGAGAAGGAGAATAATACTCCTAATATATGTACAACTTGCATAATCCAATTGGTTGAAGCTTTGAATTCTGCCTTCACGGCTTCATGAATGTCGGTCACAGTTTTAGAAGTATTGGCACTTGCGGAGAGGATGTTTCCAAAAGCAACATCAAATACAAAGAAATTCTGAAAGTCATCTAAGGCTTCCTTGGTTTTCCCTATGGCGATGTTGATTGCCTGATCGACTACCTTGGGGGATTCACAGACACGGTTTACCGTGTTGGTATTGAGAGGAGTACATAATTGGCCAACGTTCACCACTTCACACACGCCACTGGCGATACTCAGCTTTGCCCTGCAGTCTTGGTAGACTTTGTTGATGCCATTATTGCACTCGGTGTAGGCAGTGTTAAGCAGTTCTTTGCATTTCTGAAAAGAAAGTAAAAGGACAATACAAGCCTGTATCTGGCAATTCCAAAGTAATAGTGGTCTTTTTATGCAAAAAAGGGAAATTTTTACCTCTTCAATTGACCCAACTTGAGATATGGCATATGGATGGCATGATAAACAAACTTATTTAAAAAGTTACTTACAACGTATAAGAAACCTTTTTAACACAAATGATCAATTTGATTGTAATTTTGTGGATAATTTTTTTAAAAAATCTGGTGACCAGATTAAAAAACAAAAACAGTTACTGTCACTTATGGGAAATGAAGCAAAATTTTAGAAAGTATTGAAATAAGATAAAGGGGATAACTGATGTGCGATTAGTAATATATAAATTATTTACAACCTCCAATGACATATGTTTTAATGCAAATGATTTACACAAACAAAATACACGAGTTATAATTCGATAGAAAAAGTAGAGAGAAGTCAAGTGACAAGATTGTAGGGAAAAAAGGATTATGCACACTTTCAAGGAAGAAAGTCAAATGCACTGAAAAGACAGATGGGATAATTCAGATGTGTATCTTACTTGGACTGCTGCACCAAGCGCCTCAGATCCCTCAGTCAACCCGCCCTTAACAACTGTGAGTCCATCTTCCACTGGACTGAACCCACTGCGGACCTGATCAGCTATCCCCTGCAGCGTCTGGGCGGTCATCTTCATCTGGTCAATAACAGCCTCGATAGGTTTCTTTAACAGACCTTGAATCACCTTGCTCTGATTATAGGCAAGATCTGCGCTGCAACTCATGGAGGCGGATGCCTCTTGTGCATTGGTGAAAATATTGGTGACTGGACCAATCAAAAGGAGTGTCATGATGACAGACAAGATGGCAGCTCGTCCCTTGCCCGTGCATAAATTTGGTATCATCAGAGCGGCAATACAGCGACAGTGCACTGAGGCTGCAAATCCTGCGGCCATGATTATTGCTGAAATGCCACTGATCACTGCTGCAGTAATGACATCATAGCCAATACCATAGTGACAGCCTAGAAACAGAGCGACCCCAAGCAGAACACCACATACTGCTCCACAGGTGGATTTGAGTTTCTTGTATTCCCCTCTGTCACTTTGAAAAAGTTTCTTTTTGGTCTCGTTCAACACTTCAGCACTCTCAGAGAGCTTGCTGAGAAGTAGCGAGCTGACAGATTTTGAATGTTTCTCCAGTCCATTTGGAATGGACATTCTTGGACCAAGATATGGTTCTGTATCACCATCCATATCATCATCAGAAACGTAATCACTTGTTCCAGAGGGATACTGGGGTGTTATTGCCTTTTTACCGGTCAGTGGCAAGTGGACTTCTCCAGCATGTTCTTGAACTGACCCAAGGTTTGGAAGGCTATGGGACAGTTGACGCCCAAATTTGAGAGCAATCTGCTTTGCTGACCCTTTAACAGGGAGTTTTGGAGCCTTGCTATCATGTGACATCTTGACATAAGCCCTGACGTCTTGCGGAGATCCATCTTGTTGAAGAGGGCTGATGTAAGCATAGGGAAAAGTCCCCACAGTTGTAGTTCCGTGTTGTCTCCCCATGGCCCAGCCATTGTCCAGTAGTGTGACGTCTACCAGTGTCTCCCCCAGCTGGAGACGCAGGTCACCATCATGTTCAGGGTGGTATGGATGGACCACCTTGTACAGCTTATTCATGGTTGTAGGCTCTAGAGACAAAAAACAAATGTTTTAAATAGGTGGCTTTTTTTCTTTTTTTCTTTTATTTATTTGCATTGTATTTTAAGATGCGAGTTTTATGGATTGGTCAGCTGTACACAACTACATTTTCCTTGTTTAAAAAGATAAATCAAACTTCAAAGTTTATGAAATAAGAAAGAAATTGAGATCTGTGATTACTCCCTGAGATTCATAGTCATTGGAAATAAAAAATCCATTAAATATTTCAGAAAATCTATTAAATCAGTTTTTACTTATTACAGTAATATTAACTGATGATGTATCTCTAATTTTATACATATATTTTGGTCAATTGATATGTATTTCAACTGGGTTTCTGAATTTTATTTTTTTTTCAATTTTCATGTCACCATGATTGAATTAAATGATTTTATGCCAAGAGTACATCCCTATGACTGTGAATATAATTCTCTTTGATTTATAATTCTAAGTTAAAAGAAAAGCCTTTTGTTTTGCCTCACTGTCAAAGCCTTGATTACAAGTTATGTGTTTTCCTTAATTAGTGCAGCATCAAACAAGATGATTCAGTTAAATCTGTGCTCAAGCTTTCAATTAATGAACGCAACTTAAATATAGATAAATTATGTACCTTAAATTATTTGCTTTTTTAATAAAAGAATTTTAAAATCATCCACAGTACCTTGACATATCCATAGTTTATCTACAAATTACATTAATTTACGTTATACACTGGATTATAATCTTATCTTACCTGTTATGCTATTCAATGGACTCCTGTTATATTCTTTTTCCTCTGGCAGGGGTAAATCTTTTTCTTTTCATACATTCAGAATTTGCATCAAAGTAAAATGTTATTCCTAAAATTGGATATAATTTGCTAATAAATTTTCTGGAATGTTTCTTGATTTAAGTACGCTTCTTGAAACTTGCTTCTGACAGCAGTTACCTGGTCTTTTATATGGGGCTGTAGCATTATGTCTTTTGTTTTTGGCATTGTTTGGGGGTGACTGTTCATAATTTATCAAGTAAGATGACAGGAAAGTATTCAAGGAAGCTGACTGATAATTATTGAAAATGTCAACTGAACAAAGTTTGCTTATCCTTAGAATATTCTAGTACTGAACATTATAAAGACATCACCCCATATCAGTTGTACTGCTTTAAGACCGTATATGGCATAACTTTACTTCCTTGTTTGTTTTCCTCAGTTTGGACCACTTCCAAAAATTAAAATGCTAGTGGGATCCAGTCACATCCGGGAAGAATTTATTGACACAGGCAATGAAAATTCTACCTAGTACAAACGAGATGCAAAATATTTGAATAACAAAAGATGGAATAACATTAGACTGATAGGCTGCTTATTAATCATTCAAAGTTTTTCAGTGTGGTTATACAGGTGATCTGCATCTATTTTTAATATTTTTGTTGGCACTGACTCATATAGCCCAGGGTTTATTGACTATGCAGGGGTCTTTTCATCACACGGCTGACTAAGTCAGGATGTGATTAAGATATAGATATGAAATTAAGATGAAAATAGGTTTTGAGTGAAACAGATTAACCACAATAATTGAAGTATAAAGATCAGAGAGCCATGCAGAACTGCTGAGACCACTGATTAGCTTATTACATTATGGAGAAACCTGACGTGTTCTAATAATTGACATAAGTCACAATTAGTTTTTATGCCTTTCATACGTGCCTTGTTATGTTATAGAGGGCATCCTCTAGGCCGTGGAAGATACTGTGTGCCAAAGATTTTTAAATTTTTAATTGTTCATGTTCATCTTGATGCATACCAAGAAAATAAGAAATTAGTTGGTTGAAGAAATATTTGAGTTGCTTATTTCAATAATTATTTCAATGTGCATGTTTCGTAGAAAAAAATATTTTTGAGTCATCCTGAACTGTAAAGATAAGATTAAGGGCATTGGTATGAGCTAGGATTTTGGGTGGTAGGTATGAGATGTGACCATAGGATCAATACTAGTAGGCATTTTTATTGAACCACCAAATTAACTTTTAAACAGAAATATACTCAATATGAAGCATACTCAATATACTTTGGACAATTTTAAATAATAATTTTTCATATTGTTTAACCAAAGTTTATTGGTCAAATGGTTGGTCAAATGAAGGCCACCTTTGACATGAAGACACTTCTTTATACAGGTATCTAATTTTTTGCGGGTCAGAATAACAAATGACAATAAGGCCAGAATAACACTTTTTCTTACTACTGCCCCCCCCCCCCCCCCCACCCATTCCTCCACCCTTTATAAAAGATGGCACCCCCTCTGGATCTTTTCTAAATCAACTTTCACTTTTTCACTTTAATAGATTGCTGTTAACATACATATGCATCCTGTATGTACACTGGGCTTTTAGCCTTTCACTGATGGAACAAATAACTCTAAGATCGAGATTGATGGTTTATTTGCATGGGCTTTCTTCAGAATGATATATGGTTGATAAGGATGCCATATATGCATGTGTGCACACACCAGCGTGTTGGGACTGAAAGGCGACCACTTAATAAACAGTAGGGCTTTTTACAATGCATTATCTCCCAGTTAGTGCACTATGTAACAGGAGGCTATAGACAGCATATAGCAGAGAATGCTCACAGGTAATAATGGCAGTGGAATAACAGCTGGCAAGCAGGAATGAGGTCACCTGAGAAGTTAATTGTGAAGTGACTGAGAGACCAAACACACCTGAAGAGACAAGAAAAAGAGAGTGAGGACTGTACGCTGTTGATGGAGCCTACCTCTAGGCCACTATAGTTCTGACTGCATGCACTGTACATGTATGTTTAATGACTGCCTGTTTAAGTTATTGATTCTTGCCTTGCAGTCCAGGTCTTATTGTCATATATCTCCTACGTGACACTGACAGCCCATGGGATGGTAGGTCCGTGGTTGCTGATATTATAGAGGATAAAGGTATATCACAGAGTACATGCAGATATCACAGAATCAGGGGGTACAGTTCAATCAACCATTTTTGAGGAAGCTATTGACCACTATGCACTGCACATGTCACCAGGAAAAGTCGGGAGATATAATGTGTCTTTTTATTTACAGATTCATCCAGCAATGAGGGATATTTTACTGAGCCAGGGATACTGACCAGCTGACCAGAGAAATGACTATGTTCAGGACTGCTGTGTTTAGGCTGTATCTCTTGGGCTCGGCCCTCATAGTGACCTGTGCCCAGTTTGGGTCTTCCTATTATTGTGACAAAACTTACCCATGTGATTGCAAGACACTGGAGCAGTGTAAACCTATAGTGGCCAATAAGCACAGGAAAGAGGTATGGAAGAAATCACACCACTTGATATTGTAACAGAATGAGTATTAGCATAGATATGTAAGAGTATTAGCATAGGAACAAGTGCTATTTACACATGCTACTGACGGTATGTGTTTGCTTATGGGTGTGTAGGGTTTTATATTTTACATGCTGCACGATATGGACTTGTGTCTTTTTGGTTAAAAACATTCATCAATTCTTAGCTGATGTGCCATTACAAAAAGCTGTTGCATGTGAAAAATGTTCCTAGTGTGACTATGCCTGACCACCTTTGGTATCACTGGTGATGGGAACTGTCTCATTATTTATTCCTGATGTCCCTCTTTTTTGTTTTTTCGTAAAAGTTTATGTGGAATTTCAGCATAATATAGTCAGCATGCCTTTTCCATTTTGGAAGGTGTTTTGATAGGGTATGTAAACTATGACTTTCAGGGTGAATAGAAGACTAACAATGCATAATCAATAGAATAGACTTATTTCAAGACCACTATACAATATGGCCTATAACTTAGAATCCTGGACAGCTAGCTTTTGTCACTGTGTGATGTCATACTAGACTGGGGGTGGAGGGGATAGAAGTAAAGATGTAGATCAGTAGTGGTAGAAGTGTGTAGTCAGGCCCGTAGCCAGCAATTTCAAAAGGGGGGTTCTTTTTCTGAAAAAGTGGACCTTTTTCCATAAAAACTTCATAAACCTAGATCAAAATTTACCCAGAATGGACCTTTTCCCACCAAAAGGGGCGGCGGTTCTTT